TGTGTTTTGATCCTGCAAATAACCAAAGAAATGCAAATTAAAATAAGATAAATTCCATCATTAAAGCAACATTACAGCACTGCATATAAAGTTTAAATGTCCATATACCTTGATCAAGCTATTCCTTCTTTATAAATTTATCCTAAAGAAAAAGTGCAAAAAGATGTCTATAGTAAGAATGTGTATCACAGCATTGTTTACAAATTTATTATTTAAATAAATTATGGGCCAGCAATATAATAAAATAGAAAGTGACATGAAAGGATAGTTATGGAAGGTACATTATAAAAAAGTACAGTATGTTCCCATTTATATTTTAATATATGTATGCAGGCATGCATGAAAAATGTTACTAAAAATACTTTTATAGAGCAAAACATACCATAACAAGATCAAAAGACTTGGGCAAATAGAGAAAATACTTGTAAAATATATCACAGAATCCCAACATATAAAGAATTCACAGCCAGGCATTGTGTGCATGCCTATAATTTCAGCTACTCAGGAGGCTAAGGCGGGAGGATCACTTAAGGCCTGGAGTTCAAGATCAGCATGGGCACATGGCTTGACCCTGTCTCCAAAAAATACAAATTAAAACCAAACTGAGATACATTTCTCACCTATCAACAAAAATTCAAAGTCTTACATTCTACTGGCAGCTGTGGATAAAAAGGCAGTCTCATATATTACTTGTAAGAGTGCAAAAGGGTACAACACCTATGAAGAGGAATTCAGCAATAGCTAACAGATCTTCATATTCATTTACCACTTGACCCAATAATCTCACTTCTAGGAATTCGCCCTGAAATAAACCTTGATAAATACGAAACAATACAGACGCACGAGGTTATTCACTGCAGTGAATTTATAACAGCAAAACACTGGAAACAACCCAAGTACAATAAGGGACTGGTTGAACAAACTATGATATATCTGTATAATAGAGCATTACACAGAGAGTAATGAGAAAAAAGAAGGAAGAAAATCTCTATCAACTGAAATAGATATTAGGTGAAAAAAATAAGACATACACACACACATATATATACAGTATCCACCAAAAAGTATGAGACAGAAAAAGAAATATGTGTATTTGCTTGCTTCTTTTATGTACTCCTCTAAGAGATAAACTAAAAGCCAGTGAAAGTGATTAGCTATAGAAAGTGGGTCAGAAAGGGAAGGAGCTGATAGAAGAGTTCTCTGATTAAACAGTTACGTAATTTTGACTTTGAATCATGTAAATATTCTTCAAATTTAAAAATAAAATTAAATCAACAGTTAACATAAGTAACTTTTTAAAAAAGTACTCTCACTCTTTATCCTTAGTACGACATATCCTAAGGACACATATAATTATAGAGAAATCTGAACTTGAACCTATAGGTTTATTGTTGTTAATGGCATATTGTTGGGAATCCGGGTTTTCAATGTGGGAAAAGGGAGATACAAATAGGAAATGCAAGAAAATGAGGTAAAACCTTGTGGTGTTGCATGTGAACTGGAACTATCAATATAGACTTGTAATTAAGCATGTGTTTCCCCATCTCTGGCCATTGAAAAGGCCTACGAGGAATGATACCTCAGTAGCAATGAGCACTCCTAGTACCCAGGTCTTTGTCTCTCAAAACAACTGCCCATTAAAAGAACAAGGACTCCTTGGATAACTAGGTGATTCCAGGGCTAGGGCAAGGGAAAGTTGAAGGTGAATCTAGAACCTCTTATTATTCCACAAATCAAGAAAAAGTTCAAAGACTAATGGAATCATGTGAAAAAGACATAGGTGGCTGGTCCGAGTGCAGTGGTGTTTACAACTAATTGATCACAACCAGTTATAGATTCCTTTGCTCCTTCTCCACTCCCATTGCTTTACGTGACTAGCCTTTTAAAGGAAAAAAAAGGACATAGGTGCTCACTTGAAGGGATTCCTACTAGGAGATGGGGAATAAAAATAATGATGGTAAAGAATTGCAACATATTCAGTAATAAAGGAATTCATGAGCCCATGGTGTTATTTTTTTAAAGGGAGTAGGAGGGCTCTTCTCTATAGAAAAGTGTCAATTAATAATGTTAGAATTAGAAAATCACTATATTGCAACCCAACGTAACATCTGAGTAAGGCAAGGATCATTAATTGGTGCTAAAACCACTAAGTGAATGGATCCTGGACTTAAAAAAGAAAAGGAAAAAAGGGATATAAGAGACACATTTTGGAACTGGGAACATTTTTAAATATATGTATATTAGATATTCTTGAAACAGTGTTAATTTTCTTAGGTGGTGAAGATGGAATTGTGGGCTTGTGAATGACAACGCTTTTAGTTGTAGAAGATATATGCTAAGGTATTTAGGGGTGAACTGTCATGATGTATACAACAAATTTTCACATGGTTCAGCAAAGACGTGTGTGTGTGTATGTGTGAGTGTATTTAAAGACACATAAAGCGAATGTAGCAAAATCATTAACAATCAGTGAATCCAGATAAAGGGCATACTGTGTTCATTGTACTGTTCTTTGAACTTTTCTCTAGGTTTGAAATTTTTCTGCAGAAAAATGAAAAAATTTTTACTTCACATTCAATGTTCATCCACATTAGGTGCTGGCAAACTTTTTTTGGTAAAGGACCAGACCGTAAACATTTTAGGCTTTACACGTCATATAATTTTTACTACAGTACAACAGCAGCCACTATAGGCAATATATGAAAACAAATGAGCATGGCTGTGTTACAATAATACTTTACTTACAAAAATAGGCAACAGACCAAATTTGGCCCATGGGCCACTATTTGCCAACCCCTTAACTATATTAGATTTTTAAAGAATGCACAGGCATGTAATGCTTTCTTTCTTTCTCTGATATATACTTTTTTTATTTTAAATTCATACTCCCTAAATTCGCAGTCTCTTCTCTAGTTTCTACATTTTCCCACTTGATAATCTTATGGCTTCATTATTAATTGTAACAGAATGATGCCTATCTATAGCACCTGCCTTGATATCTCTAGGCTAGAGTTCTATTTTCCTTTACACGTTTCATAAACATTTCCACATGGGTGGCCAACCTGAAGGTCAAATTCAGTATGTCGAAAGTAAATATTAGTGTCTTTTTCCCCCAAGTAACTTCTCCAACATGATTCAGTTCTACCAGTAGGAGCTCCTGTGCAGAAAAGAGGTGACATAGCAGGCCTGAGACTGTCTATCTTTAGAAAGGGCTACTTCCACAACTGGCCCTTGGGTGGCACCTGGGAACTTGTATTTTGGGAGGGTTCCCACTATTCCCAGAACTAATAAAAGTGGCATACTGTGCCTAAAGTGTTTGTGCGAATAGTATGGTTTGTGCTAAACACCAGCTTTTCTTCTGGGAATCTGGAATTTGGGTACATAGTTCTGATCATTTCATCTCTCAATGCTAAAATCTTCAGTAGTAATCCATTTTGCCCTAGAATGGAAGCCCAGAAAACTAAACCTGGAATTTATAACCCTCCAGTGGTTGGCTCCAAACTACCTCTTTAATCTTATTTTCTACTGTATGACATCACAAACCCTATACTTCAGCCAAACCACCATATGACAATTCCCAAATCTATCCAATCATTCTCTTCTCTCGACTTTAGCTAACAGAGTTTCCAATACCTGAAATAACATTCCCCTATATCTGCATGAATTCATGCGGTTTAAATTCAAATGTCACCTCCTATATGAAGCCCTCTTGGATAATTTTAGCTAGAAATATTCATTCTTTTTTCCTGCATTTTAATAGAATTTTAAGTGTTTATTTCTAATGAAACTTATCACTTTCAATATTGCATTAATCTATTATATATATACATTCCATAACCTCTCTCCTCCAGAGCATTCTCTACCTTGCATTAATTTTTGTATCTCCCTACAGAGCCATGCAACTGTACACATTCCATAGTATTTGTTGAATGAAAAGGAGAATGAAAAAATGGAAAAATGAGAAGGCAATCAGATGAATGCCTGCTTCTAGAGTTGTTCTAAGGGAAGAAATATATTTTTAGAAATGATGGGATTTATGTATAGCTGAAACAGTACTATTCTTATTCGAGATCCACACTGTACATTTAATCAAATTTCTAGAAGTACATGTAGCAAGGTACTATGCTTTAGCCCTGTGGAAGATACCATGAATTAAATAAGCTTCAGTGGATTGGCCTCAAATCTAATCTTATCCATAACAATGTTTATGAAAAATGTAAAATTCCTAATAATCATTCATTCATTTTTGGAGACAGAGTTTCACTATGTCACCCAGGCTGCAGTTCAGTGGCATGATCATAGCTCACTATAACCTCAAACTCCTGGGGGGCTCAAGTGATTCTCCTGACTCAGCCTTCTGAGTAGCTGGGACTGCTCCCAGCTAATTTATTTTTTGTAGAGATGAAGTCTCACTATGCTGCCCAGATGGTCTCAAACTCCTGGACTCAAGTGATCCTCTCACCTTGGCCTCACAAAGTGCTGGATTACAGGGGTGAACTGCCACACCTGGCCCCTAACAAACTTTAAAACAATTTTGTAATATAATCCAGTAGACAGGAACTGACCCTGTATCAACTATAAGTGGGTCTGTGATAATAAAGTTATAGGAAATGCTTTTTCCCACAAAGATATGAAATACTCAAAACCAAAACAATTTAAACATTTTTTTAAAAAGTTTACCACACTTAGGAGATGGAAAATATACCCCTGCCCCTCTCCCACCAAAAACAAAATATAAAAGGAATCAACCATTTTTTTAGTGGAGTAGGGAAGAATGGGTTTTTATAAAAGATTGTAACTGAAGCTTGAGGAAAGGAGGAGTACTTTTATATAATCAAAGATATTTAGATATTTTTCTACATACAACACACATGTACACACAATCACTAATTTAAGAAAGAGTTTATAATTTGGCCTTTTTGTTCCACATATTATTAAAGTCTTCAGTCAGATGAAATCATATAAGACAGAATAAAATAATTTTGAGTGAAATACACTACCTCCAACAACAATGTTCACCATTTCTTCTACAATGCTCTGTATAATGTCTTGTGGCTTTTCCTCACAATCATGGTTTTCCCCATCATATAATATATCATTTTTAGATAATGCTTTAAAAGAAGAAAAATTCAAGAGAACATTATTTTAATTTTTGGAGAATTTTCCTAAACATTTATAATGAAAAACTTTCCAAAGCAACAAAGAAAAAAATCAGATATATAAAATTAGAAGCAAATACATATTAAATCTTCAAAATTTATACCAAAACTTAAAATATTTTCCAAATTCAAGTCATTTTCAACAATGATTTATTTGATAAGCTATTAAATGACGACGCAACTTAACTGAATTTTCTACATTGGTCCTTTAAGAACCCAAACTTCTAGAAGTATTTTGAATGAAACATTTCTAACAAGTCCTACACACACTTACTTACATTTAGTACACACACTATTACACTAACCCTTGTCAAATAATATTAATATATTAAATGTAATTAAAGCCTATTTTGATTACTTAGGCACATCTATAATAGCAAGATTAACACTGTACTCTAATACAGTGAGGTCCTTAAAGAAGCAGACATAGGGCCATCTGGACCCTTTCTTGCTATTTCTTCCCCAATAGAATCTACATTTCCAATATAAAATTAAATTTAAGAAGTTAAAAAAGAATTCATTACCCAATTTAATGTTTAAAAAAACCCCAAATAACTGTCAATCAGAACTTCTGAATAGCGTAAGAGAAACTGATGAAATTTGATATTCCAGATAGCTTGTATATACTCTATTGCAGATAAATATAGGATTTCCATTGGGCTTTTTGAAATGATGAAAATATTTCAAGGCTGCTCAATGAGCACTTTAGGATGCTTAAGCTCTAAGATCCTGTCACAGGAGCCATTGTCCTATACCCAATGGCATCAAACTGCATAGTAGCTGGGAGTGCTACTGTCTCCACTCCCTGTCCCTTCCCACTATTATAAAGGACCACCATTTACAATGGTGGCTTCCAGACGCCTGTCTTCCCTGTAAGTTCACTGCTCCTAATCTACTGTCTGCAGCATTCTACAAAATACTGAAAGCCACAAGTGGAAACCAGATAAATAAGCATGTCAAGTCAGTAACCTTATTTTATAAAATATCCAAAGAGCATTCAGATTCTTCTGTGGAATAATAACAAATGTCTTGACAGATAATTTTCTCACCATTCTAAAGCATTTTATCTCTGTGTTCTAGTTGGCTAAAATTACCTAAAGTCTGAAAATTAGAGTTCCAATGTAACTAAATATATAGAGCCACTGTATAAAAGTGTACAAAATGACTAGTGAATTAAGAGTCAATCCTCACATAAATTAGCTAAAATAGATTAAAGTTAACAGTGACTAATATTTATTATATATAAGAAATGCTTAAGAGAAGTTAACTACTAATATTATGTCCAAAGTCACACAGCTAGTGACAGAGATGTGCTTCAGAAAATGCATCCTGAACCAATGGCTCTCAAGCAGTTTTCATTCATATCAACTGCTGGGAGAAAAACACCTTTAGAGTCAAAATAATCATGATGCCAATACAGGGAACTATGGCATATTCATAATTCTGTAATTTATAACGCTCTACAGTGGTACCTCACACATAGTAGATGTTCCTACTCTGTGGGTCTCAGTTCATGTTGTTTCCTCTGCTGGAAAATTTTCCAATTTTTTAGCCAGCCAATTCCCACCTTTATCCATCAAGATTCAACTAAAACATTATCACTTTCTCTATGAAGGTATTTCCTAACTCAGCAGAATTACCTTGTGCATGCCACTTTCAGGACATGTATCACATATTATACCTCATTTATGCTAACCTGACCCTCCAGGTAGGCTAAAGAACACATCAAAAGCAATGGCTACATATCCATCATCTTTTTAACCTGAAGTGCTAACATTGTGCCTAAGACACAGTATGTTCAATGTTTGCTGAATGTATAAACAAAGAAAGGAAAAAATAAAGTCCCAGCTTTATTAGAGATTAGCCCTTTGAATCAGCCCCTTTATAAGCTCACGATGAAAAGCAAGGGAAATTTTGGCAAAAAGGGCAGGCCAGACAAATGTCAATCACATAAGCAATATAGATTCACTATTAGCTTCAGTACTGTGAATGTTTGGTTTACCAAAGTCATCCCTTTTAAAGTAAAGTACGATTTTAAAAAAGTATACTTCTCAGAATGTTGGGGGGAAAAAATAAAAAGGCATCTATTCATGCCACTACTAAGTTATGGAGAAGATGTGGTTACGAAAAAAAATTAAGAGCTGAAAATAGATCACTGAAGTTTTTCCTCAAAGTGAAGCAAAAACACAGACTTCAGATGAATTGTGACTAACCCCTAACCATCCTATTTCTTGACAACCACACTGGATAGACAACATAGTTTTTACCACTGTTGAAATGATATCAAGCTAAGGCAAGGCAAAGGGAACAAGCGCAACTCCCTGGCAGTTTCATGTAACTAAAGCTGAAAATAATGTTTGGGGAAAAAAATAACTTCACGTGATTATCTTATTATTTACAGAGAAATTCATTTTTTGTTTTAGAGACTGGGTCTCGCTCTGTCACCCAGGCTGAAGTGCTGTGGTACAATCATAGATTCTTGTAGGCTGGAACTCCTGGGCTCAAGTGATCCTCCCATCTCAGCCTCCCGAGTAGCTAGGATTACAGGTGTGAGCCATCATATCTGGCCAAATTTATAAAAAATAAATATAATTTAATTTTTGTAATCTTGTAATCTTTTTTAAAAAAAAATTTTAACAAATATCCAACAAAGCTAATTGTAACCTTTTTCTTATAATTTTGCTTAGAAAAAATACTATCAGAAAACACCTCAATTGTGGTGATTACTACATACCAGGATATAAAAATAAATGAAATTTTTTTGTATGTCAGTTGGTTACTCAAAAAGATTTGTTTTTGCATTTAATTTCAGTACTTTTTTGACAATAATATTTTCTAAACTGATAAAGATTTCCTAGAATTTGCAGTCATATTACAGAAAATTTTACTACGTTACCTGTTTGCTATGAAACTAATCTTAAGAAGGAAACTGATGTTCCTATGCAACATGCTAATGGATATTTATGACCCTCTTTAGAAAGACGTATGTCCTCTAAAGGAAGTCTATAAATCGTATTGCTCGTGAGATGTTAATGCATGAAATGCATCATTAATAGATATACTGTGGGTTGAAGTAAATTAAGTTTACCACCTAGGATGAAAAAAGTCCACAATTACCAAAATGTCCCTGATATCCATTAAATAATATTATCTTTTCCACATTTCTTCATCAAAAACTCTCATTCCTACATGTTTTCCTTAACACACACCCGCCCCACACCCCCTTCTCCAGAAGATTACTTTCAGCTGCAGTTGCCTGATCAGCTTCAGTCTGTTCATTTTCTGCACTGGAAATATCAGATCCATTTTCAGGCTCTGTGTCATCCTGAAGACTTTTATCTACATCATTTGTATGGGGGTCAAGGTCCCCTTCATGTTCTTGGGATATATGATCAACAGTCTGAGGTGGCAAATATCTAAGTTGAGGTGATTCAGGCTCATGATGGCTTACTGGAGACTGCAACAGATGATGGTGCTGTCGATGCCTTTCTTTTTCCATTTGTTTGGCTTCTTGCAACTGGAAAGAAAGAAAATAATTTCCAATATTAGTAGAATAAGTTGTTTAAAATTTGGGAGGATAATGTTACATCCAACTATAAATCCTTTATGTAACGTGCCACCTTGTCTCTATGCTTGGAAATTATAGTCCACCAAAAACAAAATACATAAAATATACTAAAAACATTTAATGATGTTTATGCCTTTGGTGACTGGAAATTGGCACGTAAGAACAGAAATGAAAGACTTTCGCTATACACATTTGTCATTATATCTGGTATTTAATTATGTGAATGAACACATACACACACACACATAAACTCATTCACTTTTGCTAATACATAAAGATATACAAGAAACTAGTAATAATGGTTATCTGTAGAGAGCAGGGGTTAGGAAACGACCAAATGGGAAACAAAAGTGGGAGAGAACTTTTCAGTGTTTACCCTTATGTAGCATGTTCTTGTGTGACCTTGTCAAACATCTTTTAATTTAAAAATATTAAAATTTCTATTTAATAAATAAAATTGCAATAAGGGTTTATCTCACTCTGCCCAGTCATCTAATAATTATGAAAACTTTTATCTACAAATATCTAAATTTTATTTTAGAAGACCTGTCATTATTATGTATTAATATATAATTAATACATAAAACTGGCTAACTTACAAGATGCTAAAATTATTAACAATTGGGATCACAGGATTCATTTTCTAGTACTTTATTGCTTTTCACGCAGCTCTTTTGGTCCTCATGATCTGATATGAATGATTTTTGCAGAATAAATCTCCACAAAGATAAATATTTCACAGTATCAAATATCAACATATCATATGCTCCAATAATATTCCAGGTTATGTGGAAATACTAGAACTAATTATATGAATTTATAAAATAAATCTGAATTAAAAGATTTCAATGCCTAAAAAGAAGGAAGAGCCTTATAATCTACATGGTCTAAATTCTTTATTTTATAGATAAGGAAACTGATGGGCATGACTAGATGCACAGTTAAAATCAGAACAGAATTTTCAGATCAAAACTTTAGCCCATTCAATTTCCAAATTTACAGTGAGGAATCTATCACTTGCAATCAAATCCCACTCTTAGCCTAACTTCAACCAATCTGTACCATGGTTTAGTGGGGCAAATAAATGCTTTGGAATCACAGACAAGCATGGTGATAAATTCTAGCTTTTTCCACTTATTCCAGAATTGTAGAAATGCTAGCAATATCCTTGAAAAAAGAGAAAATGTTATTCTATGAAAATAAACTTTTAAACATTGTATATACATTTCTTACTTTCTAGCATAAGGCTTCTCAGCATCAGCTCTACTGACATTTTGGATCAGGTATTTCTTTGTTGTGGTGAGGTTGTCCTACTTTGTCCTAGGGTGTCAGCAGCATCCTTGGCCTCTACCCACAATAAGCCAGTAGCAGCCTCCTCACCCTAGTCATGATAATCAAAAAAATATCTCAAATGTGCCTTCAGGGGCAAAACATAGTAGTTGAGAACCATTGTTCTAGAAGGAAGAAATTAGTGTTTTTTTCTTTTGAATTTTAGGACTGAACTTTTTATAATAAAGTCTGACAAGATATGCTTTATAGAGTTTTATTTTGCGGAAGAGGAAGAAGAAGGTTACCAGTAGTAAATATAAATGAATTAGACTTCCATCTTAGAAGATTTCAGTAAATGTGGAAGTTAAATCATCTGTCCCCCTTTCCCTTTATTTTCTCTTTCCTCTTTTTCCCACTTTTCTATATCCAGTGCACAGAACTAAATATCCTTCGTAATACAAAACACGTTCATAGCCTTTCTCACAATTCAGTTATATATCTGTTTGTGTAGATACCTATTTAAAGTTCATTATGTACCACAGTTTGTAAGGTACAGATCAAGTCAATTTTGCTCATCACTGTATAAGTGAGGCCTACCACATGCCAGAACATATAAGGATTCAATAAAAATATGAACAAATCAAACCAATAAAACTTACATATCTGTTATTAAAAAGTGACAAAATTATTTTCATCCACTTCCTCAAAAATGCAGCAAAACCACTGTTTGTGGCTGCAAAATATCAAAAATAATCTACTGTCAATATATAGGAGAGGGACTTAATAGACTATGGTATATCCTAGGATATTGCACATTTATTTATTTATTTATAATATATATTTTTAGTTATTATGGGTACACAATATTTGTATATCTTTCTAGGATACATGTGATGTTTTAATACAAGCATAAAAGGTAAAGTAATCAAATCAGGGTAACTGGGATATCCCCCACCTCAGGCATTTAATATTTCTTTGTGTTAGGAACATTCCAATTCCACTAGTATTATACATTTACAACAAAGAATGAAGAAGATCTCTAAGGAGTGACATGGAACATACTGTTTCTAGGACATACTATTAACTGAACAGAGCAAAACACAAAAAAATATCTATAACATGTATGGTAGCCAGCCTTTAAGATGGCCACCAATGATGTCCACCTCTTGATTTTCACTGCCTTGTGAAGTCCCTTCCTACCACGTACCTGTGCGACCACTTCTGAAAATAAGGTAGATATTGTGGCTTCTGTCTTACATTCAAGGGGTGGAAAAAAGGGAGGAAGAGGAATGAGGTGGTAGGAATTAGGAGGAAATGGTACTTATCTGAGTATACCTTCTATATATAGCTCTGACTCTTAAATTATAGGAATGTTTTACATATCTAGAAAATAAATAAGTACAGTTGGCCCTCCATGTCTGTGGGTTCTGCATCCACGGATTCAACCAACTGCGGATTGAAAATATTTGGGAGGAAAAAAGGATGACTGTATTTGTACTGAACATGTACACATTTTTTTTTCTTGTCATTACTCCCTAAACAATACAGTATAACAACTATTTACGTAGCATTCACATTGTATTAGGTATTGTAAGTAATCTAGAGATGATTTAAAGTATGCAGGAGGATGTGCATAGATTATACACAAATACTACACCATTTTATATAAGGGACTTGAGCATCCATGGATTTTGGTATCCAAGGGAAGATCCTGTAACCAATCTACTACAGATATCAAGGGACAACTGTAATTAAAACCAACCAGAATGTGAGTGATACTGAAAATGAAAAACAGATAGTAACAAATGAATCTAACTATATTATGAAGGAATAACTTATCCCCACTGAAGAGCATGGGGAAGAAAGGAACTAATCTAAATAACTTTGAAAAGTAATGTTTTGAATGGATAATATAAAGCTAAAGAGAAAAAGAACTGGGCTGGGTGCAGTGGCTCACGCCTGAAATCCTAGCACTCTGGGAGGCCGAGGTGGGAGGATCACTTGAGGTCAGGAGTTCGAGACCAGCCTGAGCAAGAGCGAGACTCTTGTTTGTACCAAAAATAGAAAAAAATTAGCCAGACGAGGCAATGCGTGCCTGTAGTCCCAGCTACTTGGGAGGCTGGGGCAGGAGGACCGCTTGAGCCCAGGAGTTTGAAGCTGCAGTGAGCTATGATGACACCACTGCACTCTACCTGGGGTGACAGAGTGACAGTCGGGAAAGGAAAGGGAAAGGATAGGGAAAGGAGAGGGAAGGGAAGGGACAGAAAGCAAAGGAAAGGAAAGGAAAAGGAAAGGAAAGGAACAGAACAGAATATAAATGCTGTAACCTACTTAGTAAATTTGTTTCTGACAGTGGTAAGGGTTAGCAATTCTAAAACTAATGTGTTAATAAGATTGAACAATTACATATTGAAAAACATGAAAGCCAGATTTCTGTTTAGAGAAAGAAATTACAAATAAAGGGAAAAGTCTGAAATGAACACTATGGTGTTGCACTGGAGTCAGAAATGCCAGTTATAAACACATGGTTTTTAATATATACAGATGGAAGGTCACATACAGGTGTGGGGATAGAGTGGGGGAGGGGATTAGTATATAGACATATATTTCCTAACTCTATCTGCTGAGAGGGCCTAGAAGCAGTAACATGCCAGTGACAATGAACAAACTTAGAACCCAGATTTTGGTTTCTAAACATCATTCTCTAATCAAAGGAGCCAGGGTTCCTTACTGAAGTGGTTGACTCTAGGTCTGAAGTAGGGAAAATTCAAAATGAGCCTGGAACATCTTGAGATTCCACAAAGTATGGAATTACTCAAAAAAGGATGGGAGCTTCTCAAAAGGACACAAGGCCAAAAGTGGAATAGTTTGGACAACAAAATAATGATAGCTTCAGATTATAACCACAGAATAAAAAACATATCCATGAGATTGACATAAATAAATAAATTAATTAATTGGAAAGAAGGGAGAAGAATTTCAGTTAATAAATATAGGAGTAAAGAGAGAAACATAAAATCACCATTAGGGAAACATCACAGTAATAACTGCTGCCATAGTAATAACTGTTGTCAACAAGATCCACTGATAGATACTAAAATTGAGAAAGTAGGGGGGATTTGAAGAGAAATGTCTCCCCTAGACAGGGGAGGAGGGGTTGGGTATAATCAAACCTAAGGGGTGTGGTGTGCACTGTGTGGGGGATGGACATGCTTATAGCTCTGACTTGGGTGTGGCAAAGGCAATATATGTAACCTAAACATTTGTACCCCCGTAATATGCTGAAATAAAAAAAAAAAAATCTCCCCTAAGACAAATGTTAACTGTAAAAGAAAAACTAGTAATTTCACAGTGAAGGAACCTCACAGGTACCACCTGGTTAACATCAAGGTTAATATCACCAGCAGTAAGACACATCAACATCATGAATTCTTGACTTGTTGCATCAAAAAGGACACAACACTGTTTCAGAGGTATTCTAGCAAAAACTGTACAACCTCACTCCAATCACGGGAAAACATCATTTAAAGCACACTGAGGGGCATTCAACAAAGTAATTGGTTAGTATCCTTCAAAAGCATCAAGATCATGAAAGATATGGAAAGGCTAAGGAATTGTCACAGACTAGAGAAAACTACGACATAGTAACTAAATGTATGCTAAATGCAATGTGGGATCCTGGGTCAAATCCTGAAACAGAAAATGGACTTAGTGGGGAAACTACTGAAATTTTAGTAACATCTATACTTCAGTTAGCAGTATTATCCCAGTGTTAATTCTGCTTTTGATAATTGTACTCTGGTTAAGTAAGATGCTGACATTAAGGGAAGCAGGGTAAAGGGTAAAGGGGATCACTCTGTAAAATTTTTGCAACTTTTCTCTAAGTTTGAAATCAATTCAAATAAAAATCTGAAAGTTGATTTTTAATCATAAAGACCTAGGGAACTATTACAAAAAGATCCTCTAGTTACTGATCTCTTACCAATCAATTTGAAGCAGTTTAAAGTATTATAAGGAATGTCATGGCCCTTTAACATATGGGGGAAAAATATTTCATCAACACAGAAGTGTGCTTTGTTTATTTTTTTAGGACCTATTGAATAATTTTATGTCAGATTAGATAAAATTAGGTAGTTTCATATCTATATTACACTCTACTAAGCTTGAATGCAATAAAAATGCCAATTCATAAACACTTCTATGAGGAAGATAACAATAAATATTTTTCACATTCCATTTGTGAACTAAAAACGTATTTTGTCCAAAGTCAAACAGGTCAGTAAATCTCAAAACAAAACAAAATGCAATACCACAGACTTCCAGTAACCAGAACTGTAAATAGAAGACATTCTTCTCTACAGGCACATAGATTTCACTATAATTACTATAAACTCCTTTCAATATATATATATATTTTGAGACAGGGTCTTGCTCTGTTACCCAGGTAGGAGTGCAATGGCAACATCATAGCTCACTACAGCCTCGAACTCCTAGGCTCAAGCGATCCTCCTGCCTCAGCCTCCTGAGTAGCTGGGACTATAGGCACACGCCACCATGCCCAGTTAACTCTTTTTTTTTTGTAGAGACAAGGTCTAGCTACTACCCACGCTAGTCTAGAACTCCTGGCTTCAAGCAATCCTCCCGTGTCGACCTCCCAAAGTGCTAGCATTACAGGTATGAGCCACCGTGCCCAGCCTCCTTTCTATATTTAATGCCTGAGGTGTTCTATACAATCTCCCTCTTTTCTTAATACTTACTGCTTGGTTTTCCATGCGTGCAAAGATAACATTTAGCATCTGAGTAAGAGTAGCTTTGGCTGTTGTCTGATTGATGAGATTTTTGCTTGCTAGATAGATATTGTAACATGTTCTCACAGCTTGCAGTACAGTCCCTTCATGAATTTCTATGTGTTGTGATGTTACTGCAGTAAGTAAAGCCTTTAAAAAATAAAAAAGACAAAGTTAAAGAGATTTTCTATATCTAGAGTTTCAACACAAAAATATATAAGTACTTTTATATTAGAATTAAATCTTTCAGAAATAATTACCCCTTTCAGGTAATATACACGGAATTTCTACCTGCCTTGAGTATCATCAACTGTTAAAATATTTGATGTTTTCTTCATTCTGGCAGTAGTTTCCACACAATCCTCCCAAATTCAGAACACTAAAAAATCATTCAACTAATTTGTTTCAACCAGGTTTCATTTTAATATAAATGTCATTTAATTTAGTTTATTAAAATGCACAGCATTAAAAGCTGTCACAATAGAACACAGGTATGTCTCATGTATCTGTTGAGCTATATTGTCAACTTGGGAGCAACATATTGTGTCTTATTCACCTCCAAATATTTCTGAGATCATTTTTTACAGAGTAAACTCAATAAATGTACTCTTGTTGTTATTGTTAAAGATGTTTATACATGTTTTACAATAAAGCATTTAAAATAATCCTAAGGTGACTCCTTCAATAAAGTGAACAACTTCAACTTATGTGAATTTTCACACACTGGGTTACTTGCAATTTCGCAAGAGCACAGACTCACATCTTTTGTCCTTTTTATGTTGTACAAAACTATGCAGAGTCAGCATTAATGGATATATGCTAATTAAACCATAAATGACATGAAACTGTAAAAGGCCAAAATAATTAGACAGTTTTTTAGAACATCATATAATCTGTGAAGTAAATATTGCTATTAATCTGAAAGGCTCAGAAGGAGCTATATTCACACATGAAGAAACACTTTATACATGTAAAAACAATTTCAAAAGCATTATACTACAGTACATGAAAATTTACTGATAATATAAACAAAGCACCACTACCATTAGCAGTAACATTAAGAACTTGATATTTGTAAAAGACTAAAAACATGACTAGTTTTGCTCTAAAGGAGTTCAGCCATCCAGGTACATTATAGCACGAACCCAGGACAGGGTTGTGCAGAGGAGTTTCAGTAGATAGACTAGTGCAAGGGAACCATGAAAGCCGGTGGTCAAGCAGTCCACATGGTGATCCCTGGGCTGAGAGGGCTGACTGTGAAGGGCCCAACAGTACAGAAGAAACTAGATGGGTCACAGCTTTAAGGACCACCCCCTAAAGTTTAAAGGATGAAATATGTATGAAAAATATGCCAGAAATGAGAAACTCTGAAGACTCTAGGGGCCCAAGCATAAAGTGACATCTTCAAAAGAAGAGATATGGAAATATAGTCGTCTTCTAATGAACTCTGGCATACAACAACAAAATCCCCTGATATGAAATACAGAAAGCACCCAAAAATGACCTCGACTATAGTTGGAATGCATGTAAAATGACCTTTCTTAATATTTTTAAGGTGAAAGGCATCTGATTTTTAAAAATATAGATTAAGAGTAACAAATTCACTTTATATAATTATTACCTTTATTATCTGCAACTGAACTCCTTCATCTGTCTGAGGTCCTTGGAAGCAGCCACATATTGTTTCAATAATTCTATCAATTAATTTTTTGCCTGGTGTTGTACTATCTGGAGCATTGCCAGTCAAGTGCCCATAAGCAATAAGTTTCTAAAAGGGAAAAGAAAAATAAAGATACTAAGTAAGCTAACCAGTATACATATTAATTGAATATATATTAAAATTACAATATATAACTGAATATACATTAAAATTTTTACGTAAAAACATCAACGTATTATCAAAGCCAAAGCAATACCAACTTTTTCTGTAGAAAATTTATTAGCTATAAATATGAAATTATTTACACTTACAATAACCACAGAAACAGAACAATGACCACAGCAAAACCATCAGGCAGTACTCTGAGAAGTCCAGGACATGAGAACTTATCTCTGATGAGTTAGAATTGCTTATTGCTTTCTATCCAAACAAGGTTTTATTCATACTGCTTTTGTGAAAACTAACTTCATGCTTTTAAATGACCTCAAATCTCTTTCCAGATTAGATCCAGAAAACTAGTTTCCATATACTGGCTGCAATAAATCACAAATTTGTTCATTCATCATTACTGTTGTAGCCTGGAGGGAAGGCTTTAGATATATAATTCTGATTTTCCAGGATAACAAAATTACAAATCAAATGAACTTATCTTTAACCTATCTTAAGGATAAATCATATGGTCTCTTCCAAGCCACTGAATTGTTAGTTGAATACATATAATCCCCTAAACAGCGAGAACACCTAAAAAGAGAAGTACTTCTCTATCTGGAGGCTTGTTTTACAAATATCTAAGAGGATCTTGTGTGTGTGTGTAAAACAGGATAAAGGAGTTCAGAAATTTTTCTGACATAAACGAATGCCATGGCTAAAGTCCAGCAGTTAAAAATTAACCTATTTCTTTATATAAAATAGCAAGCATTTAGTAAAATCATTTGAAAATGATAACATACATAAAGTCGGCAGCAGGTTAAAAGTATTACAGTTCTCACACTTCACTGGTGGAAAGAGACCAAATCAACACTTTCATTATTGATAGCCTTAATAAAGATTTTGTGTCACACTAAGCTAATGAGTTTTGTTAGTATTAAACTATAAACATCTTTTTGCAAGTATTATTGCCTATCTTGAATATAAGAACCATTTGGCTTCTTACCACGAGAAAGAATATTCAAGGCTTTCATGGAAATGCCTGAATTATCAATTGTGAGTAATGTTTCAGAAACATATTCAAAATAGATAGTTTTGGCCGGGCGCGGTGGCTCACACCTGTAATCCTAGCTCTCTGGGAGGCCGAGGCGGGCGGATTGTTTGAGCTCAGGAGTTCAAAACCAGCCTGAGCAAGAGCGAGACCCCGTCTCTACTAAAAATAGAAAGAAATTAATTGGACAACTAAAAATATATAGAAAAAACTAGCCGGGCATGGTGGCGCATGCCTGTAGTCCCAGCTACTCGGGAGGCTGAGGCAGGAGGCTTGAGCCCAGGAGTTTGAGGTTGCTGTGAGCTAAGATGACGCCACGGCACTCTAGCCCAGGCAACACAGTGAGACTCTGTCTCAAAAAAAAAAAAAAAAAAATAGGTAGTTTTTAGATAACGCCATTTTATACATACCTGTAAACAATCTAGAGATGTACTAACTATGCGGGGACATTTGGACTGGCATGCCAACTCAAAGGGTAAGAAGTACTTGTCTGCTTCAATAAAATTCGTCTTTGATTTCACTGGTGGAAGGGTGCCTGATCCAGCTTTTGCTTCTCCATGAGGAGGACTAAATTTAAAAAAAAGAGTCTGATTAGAATATCACATGTATTATATTAATGATAAACTCATATAGAAATACAGAATTTCAGTTCTAAAATGAATCATGCTAAAACAGTCCTCCATCTTCCCATATTTCATAAGAAAATCAAAGCCCAAAGCGGTGGTTTGGCATAAGGTCAAAAGCTAGTTGCCAGAGCTGTGACTAAACACAAGACATTGAATTGTATGCAAAAAGTGTTCTACAAAAATCTGTAAGACCTCACGGTGTTTCTATTACAGAAATATTTTATCACCACTTAATAAATTTGGTATCACAATACCTTAAAAAGCAATGGGCTTTCTACTTGTTCTTAAGTCAAACTACATTTTTTAAGTTACTCGATATTGTCCTAAACAGGCTAACACTATCAAAGAAACCTAGCAATTTTTCTAAATATGAATCAAAGTCTTTAAGACTTTAAAGGCTATTTCATGGTATTTCAGAAATACCTTTAAATACTTATTTATATGAAATCTTTTTGTATTTATAAATCTTACAATTATATTTATTAAAAAACATTTTTTAATTTAATTTTACTACAAATCACACACAGAAAATTTGCCACACTAAAATACAGATGATTGTATTAGTATTTTGCCTAAGACTGACAAGTTTGCATGTTATTTTTACTAAAGACAAGAAATCCCACAAACCTCTGTTTTTCAGTTTCCGCTTTTATTTCCTCTGAAGGAAAAAAAAAGAAGCATATATTAGAATACCTGACAAGGGAAAAATCATTAAGTAATTTGACTATAGTTTTATAAATGCATTTGGACCTGTTACAAAAAGTTGGGAAGAATGCAAATTCAACAGAAAATTAGGTGCTAAATTTGTTTCATCTAATTTTTTAAATTTACACAAATAATATTATAAAACCATACGAAGAATGTACATTAACAACCATAAAGATACATGAAATTACAAACTACTAATTCCCAAAGCACTTCCTTTTCTCAAAGTAGTTCCTTTTGTGTCAAGTAACTATTTACATTAAATAGAAGCATTAATATTAGAACATAATATTGTGTATGCTACACTTAAGTCACAAAATATAAGGCATATGTTGGGTTAGGAAAAAAAAAACCACCTCAATGCAACCCCTTGTGACTATCGTAGAGAGAGTATCAGACCAGAACTATAACTTCTTGAATATGTTTACATGTGTTGATATTTAACCAATTTTTCTATTTATGATTATACAAAGCTCTATAAAATACAGATGCTCAATTTAATGTGAAATTTTTCTTTTCACTATTTATACTAAAGGGTATGAGATCTATTAGACAAATCCTACCTGTAATAAAAGACCCTTAAATTTGATATATTGGGGAACCTGGTTAATCAACTAAACCTGTTTGAAATTTAGAAGAAAGGCCTTCAAATATAACATGAGCCAAGCACCATTACACTTCACATGTACTAACTTTACACGTAGACTATTACACTTTACATGTAACTAACATATTTAAGCCTCACAACAACCCTATGAGGTATGTATTATCATATCTAAATTTTAAAGATTGGAAAATTGAGGCAGAAAAGTTAAATAACTTGTTTGAGGGCTGCATGGCTTGGTGTATGGTTAATCACATTTCAATACTAGGTAATCTAACTCCAGATCTTGGATCATTAACCACTCTACTATATATGTGTATCTAAGAATATTAAACAAAATGTGTTAAATTTGGGTATTATAAACAACTACTGGTCTATAAATTTAATAATTATTTTAAAATATCACTTACTGAGCACTTTCTATGAACCAGAGACTATATTAAACCCTTTATAAAGTGACTTTGCCAAATCTCTTTGCTATACAATTTACACAATTTATTCATATAATATATACAATTTATTCATTACCCACTGTGTTCCAGGTACTTGATATTCAGTATTTCAGTCTAGTTCTCTGTGAACCAAAGCCCTTTTCATTTTATCAGTGGTAGGAGTGGAAGGGGGATAGTGTAAAAATATTATCTGTAGCTATTTAAAATACTAATGAGAAATAGCCCCACGGGCCACCCCCGGCAGACATGTTCCCAGGCTTGCTGAGAAGCTTGTGCCCACATCCCAAGCAGGAGAAACAGTCCTGTGGGCCATTCTCGGCCAAGAAGCCACGTGACTGTGTCCTGGGCCTGAGAAATAGCCCTACAGATTGCCCCTGGAAAACATGTCCCCAGGCCAATCAAGCAGTTGTGCAGCTATGTCCTGGGTCTGAGAAACAGTCCTATGGGAAGCCCTCAGCAGACATACCCCTTGGGCCAGCTCAGCAGCTGTGTCTGCATACCAGGCCTGAAAAACAGCCCCACAAGCCGCTCGTGGTGAGCACACCCCCAGGCTGGCTGAGCAACCAGGAGTCCATGCTCCTGGCCAGATTAAGAGGCCTGTGGCCACAACCCAACAAGCCAGACCCCAAGTTGGCAGACCCGCCATGTGCGTGCATGCACCCTGACCTGAGGAACAGCCTGGTGAGTGCACCCGTGGCGAAGCTGCACCGCCGTTGCCACAAATTCTCAGCCTAGGCCACAGAGAAACTCAGGCCATTAGTATGGATTATAGCTAAAGAAACTACATGGAGACTACACTACTGAGTCCACCTAGAACGAAGGCCAATGTACCCCACCAAACTGACCCTCCAAGACCCATTCATATCAATAAGTCTTTCCCTACACCATAAAATTGGATGAGGAGACTTTCCACCAGATGTGTATAAATCAAAGCAGGGATGGGACATGTTAACCACGAAAAAGTAAGGAAACATGTTATTTCCTAAGGAAAACAATAATTCTCCAGTAACAGCCTCCAACCTTAAGGAAATACATGAAATGCCAGAAAAAGAATTCAAAACAATAATCTTAAGAAAACTTAGTGAAACACAGGAGAATACAGATAGACAATTTAATGAAATCAGGAAAACAATTCATGATTTGCATGAGAAATTTAACAAGAGATAGATATTACAAAAAAGAACCAAACAGAAATCCTACAGCTTTAGAATTTAATGAATGAAATGAAAAATTACTGAAAGCTTCAACAAGAGACTAGACCAAGCAGAAGAAAGCATTTCTGAACTTAAAGACAGGTCTTTTGAAAAAAACAAAGACAGACAAAGAAAAAGAAAAAAGAAAAAGAATGAAGAACAGCCTACAGAATTTATGGGACACCATTAAGAGAACAAACATTTGTATTATGGGTGTTCTAGAAGGAGAAGAGAAGAGAAAAGGGGAGGAAAATATATTTAATAACATAATAGCAGAAAACTTCCTCAAGTCTTAGGAGAGAGATGGACATCCAGGTCCAGGAAGCTCAAAGAACCCCAAATAAATTCAACCCAAATAGGTCCTTGCCAAGGCATGTTATAGTCAAACTGTCAAAAGTCAAAGATAAAGAATTTTAAAAAGCAGCAAGAGAGAAGTGTCAAGTCACATATAAGGGAATCCTCATTCAACTAAAAGCAGATTTCTCAGCAGGACCCTTATAGGCCAGGAGAGAATGGGATAATATAGTCAAAATACTGGAAGGAAAAACAAACAAGCAAACAAACAAACAAAAACCTGGGCCAGGCGTAGTGGCTCACGCCTGTAATCCTAGCTCTCCGGGAGGCCGAGGCGGGAGGATCGTTTCAGCTCAGGAGTTCGAGACCAGCCTGAGCAAGAGCAAGACCCCGTCTCTACTAAAGATAGAAAGAAATTAGCTGGACAACTAAAAATATATACAAAAAATTAGCCGGGCATGGTGGCGCATGCCTGTAGTCCCAGCTACTCGGGAGGCTGAGGCAGGAGGATCGCTTGAGCCCGGGAGTTTGAGGTTGCTGTGAGCTAGGCTGACACCATGGCACTCTAGCCCGGGCAACACAGTGAGACTGTCTCAAAAAAAAAAAAAACAAAAAAATCTGGTAGCCAAGAATATTTCACCCGGCAAAGCTATTCTTTAGAAATTAAGAAGAAATAAAATCTTTCACAGATAAGCAAAAACTGAGGAAATTTATCATCCTTACACCAGTCTTATAAGAAATGCTCATGAAAGTCTTATATCTGGAAGTGAAAAGATGGTAACTATTATCATGAAAACATGTAAAACCATGAAACTCACTGATAGAGCCAAAAGAAAAAGGAGAAAGAGAATCAAACCTTGTCACTACGAAAAACCACCCAACTGCAAAAATAAATAAGAAGAGAGGAAGTAAAGAACAAAGGATATAATAAATAACCAGCAATCAATAAAATGACAAGAGCAGGTCCTCACCTGTCAATAATAACCTTGACTATAAAATGGATTAAATTTGCCATTTAAAAAATATAGACAGGCTGAATGGATTTTTAAAAAGAACTCACTTATATGCTGCCTATGACAAACTCACCTCAGCTATAAACACTCACACAGACTGAAAGTGAAGGAATGAAAAAAGATATTCTATGCAAATGGAAACCAAAAGTGAGCAGGAGTAGCTATACTTCTATCAGACAAAATATACTTCAAGTTAAAAGCCATAAAAAGAAACAAATAAGGACATTATGTAATAATAAAGGGATCAATTCAGAAATAGAATACAATAATTGTAAATATATATGCATCCAATGCCAGAGCACCAAAATATATAAAGCAAATATATTATTTATAGCAATGATGCCTACAACAAAAAAAAGGAAAGATTTCAAATAAATGACCTAACGATGCATCTCAAGGAACCAGAAAAGCAAAAACAAGTCAAATCCAAAACTAGCAGAAGAAATGATAAAGATTAAAGCAGAAATAAATGATACTGAGACTAAAGAAAAAAAAAAAAATCAATGGGACAAAAAGTTGGTTTTTTTAAAAGATAAACAAAAATCAACAAACCATTAGCTACACTATCAAAAGAGAAAGAAGACCCAAATAAAATAAACAATGAAAAAAGAGACATCCTAATGGATACTACAGATATACAAAGGATCATTAAAGACTACTATGAACAACTATATGCCAATAAATTTGAAAACTGAGAGGAAATGGATAAATTCCTAGACACATACAACCTACCCAGATTGAACCAAGAAGAAACAGAAAACCTGAATAAAAACAACAAATGAGATTGAATCAGTAATAAAAAGTCTTCCAACAACAAAAAGTCTAGGACCAGATGGCTTTACTGCTGGATTCTACAAAACTTTTAAAGAAGACTATCAATTCTTCTTGAACTATTCCAAAATATTGAAGCAGAGGGAATTCTTCCTAACCCACTCTATGAGGCAAGCATAACCTCAATACCAAAACTAGACAACGATGCAACAGCAAAAAAACTAAAGGCCGATATCCCTGATAAACATAGATACAAAAATCCTCAACAAAATACCAGCAAACCTAATCCAACACATCAAAAAGATAATACAACATGATCAAGTGGGATTTATCCCAGGAATGCAAGGATGGTTCAACATACTCAAATCAATAAATGCTCTACATCATGTCAACAGAATAAAGGACAAAAACCATATGATCATCTCAACGGATTCAGAAAACGCTTTTGATAAAATTCAGTATCCCTTCATGATAAAAACTCTTATCAGAAGGAAAGTACCTCAACATAATAAAGCCCACATATGACAAATCCACAGCTAACATCTTATTAAATGGAGAACAGCTAAAAGCTTTTCATCTAAGAACTAGAACGAGAGAAGGATGCCCACTCTCATCACTTTTATTCA